AGAAAACCAAGCAAGCGTAATCAAAATTCAACACAGCAAACTGCAAGGAGGAGAAACAACGGAAACAGACTCAGTTTATCAAGTTGCTGGCAAAGGTGGTGTCAGGTTTAGTTTCTCAAAGGGGAGGCTGAGTTCACGCGGACCCAGGTGGAAAGCGGTTAGCGGTCAATGCATCATTCCAATGGCATGCAGGTGAAGGCTGTGAGCAAACTGATCAGATGGCAAGGGCACTGGGCGGAATGGAAAGTCACTTGCTACTTCCGGATCAGTTGCCAGATGGGTAAATCCCAAGTACCAGAGTGGTGGGATATGCAATCCCCCCCCACACCAGAGGTACAGCTGCTTCCAAGCATGATGGCAGAGGCTGGCCATTGGAATGCATTTCTCTGAACTGAGGACCAAGTCTGGAAGCCCGAACAGTTACCCAAGCTTTCCCCTTAGGAACAGCAAAACAGCTTCATTGCAGCATATGTTTCTGTTTTCCTCACTTTGAAATACACAAATGGAGTCAGATCTCTTCCTGCCAGGTGCTTGGGGACCACTGATATCTCTCTACCAGGCTAATGTTTCAATCACTAACACATTTACCGAACACCCACTCTACCTGGGCACTGGACTACTACTGAGGACAAACAGGTGAGTGAGACATAGTCCTTGCCTCCAAGGCCTCAGGGTCTACCTACTGAGGCTGACTGAAAAACATTCGTGTGTATGTGTGTGTACGTGCATGTATGTGTATGCACCCATGTATACGTATATGTACATGTATACATGTCCATGTTTACTCAGAGGTGCAAGAAAGGTGCTAGGAAATGAAATGCAGATGCCATCAATTCTTCAGGAAAGGTCCCTTGAGTTGGGCACCAAAAAGGAAGTTCTCAGGTGAGTGGGAAGGCCCATATTCTGTATGGCTGGGACATCATAAGCAGGGACTGTGATGTGTGGAAGCTACAAGACTGGTCAGGGTTCTTCAAGGCAGTATCTTGGGCATGGCTGGAGTGGAGGGAGGCAGCTTGGCTGCAAAAGTCCCAAGTGCCACTTGGACCGTCTCCCCTTCTGACCACAGGGGAGAACAGCTTGTATGAATAGAATGTGTAACATCAGAAAGAGATTAGCTACCACCCTGATTTTTCCTCCAACCCCATCCATAGACAAATATCTTGTCCCAAGAATATACCAGAAGATGTAGGGCTATGACAAGTTAATAAATAATTTATGCTAATTACTTTTATTATTGATTTTTAAAGGGTTCTTTATATATTCTAGATACAAGTCTCTTATCAGATATTTGCACATCTTTTCCCATTCTCTAAGTTGTCTTTTTTGATAGTGCCCTTTGAAGCATAAAGTTTTAAATTTTGATGAAGTCCAATTTACTTATCTACTGATGCTATTTTTAATTAGATTATCAGAAAATAGATATCTAGCCAGTGTTTTCATGTTAAATTGTCCTAAATCTCACTAGAAAAGTGTGAAAGAGTTGCTAGAGTTTTAAAATATGGCAAATAGTTTTTAATTCCTCAATATGGACATTTTTAGGTAACTCGAGCCCAGACCTGTACCCAATGCGTAGTAAGATATTCTAAATATGATATCTGGATTTGCTACTGGCTCAAATTTCTATTTGAGGCTATTAGAATCCCAGGTTTTTGAGACTTCAGACTTTTGTCTTTTTTCCCCCTGACTCACCTTAGCATCCAGTTCCCAATATTATAAAGTTGACTTATTTGTTTAAATTAAATATTAGCTTCTAAAAGTTATGAAGCTTCATCCCAAACTTCATCTACTAAAAAAATTTCATTAAAAAGCTAGTGTACTGGGGCTGGGGTTGTGGCTCAAGTGGTAGAGCACTCGCCTACCATGTGTGAGGCACTGGGGTTCGATCCTCAGCACCACATAAAAAAATAAATTAATGAAATATATTGTGTCCACCTAAAAAACAAAAAATAAATTTTAAAAAAAGCTAATGTACTG